ACTGGAGAAATAAGAAACTGCGACTCCGATGGCAGAAGGATGAAACGCAAGAAAAAGTGTTAAAGTGATACTATTGTGTGTAAAATAAATCAAAATATGACCTCTCACGGATGATATGAAGAGCTAATTTGTAAAAAATAAATACAGCCGTTTTTACAGTACATAATCTCCTGTGTGATTAATACTCCTTGGAGTGCGCACGTAACACATGATTCAGGATGATAAATAAAGACGGCGATAATCTGTCATTATCTCACACACACACACACACACACACACACACACACACAGCTGTATCTCGTCAGACAATTAAGATATTAAGATATAAAAAGGCATGCACTCACAATGTGTAAAGACGCACAATGGCTTATTTGGCACTGCTTGAGGATGTGACGGACGGGAGACTTCGGAGGGAGCGGCTCTTTAGGGACCAGCAAGATCCATTGGCCCATGATGACGAGTGGCTCATGAGCCGGTTTTGACTGCCACGCGCTGTGATCCTGGACCTCTGTGATACGCTGGGCCCGGCACTACAGAGGAGCACCCACAGGAACCACGCCGTGCCAGTCCCTCTGCAGGTAACAATACCCAGTTTCCTGGCAACCGGCACCTTCCAGAGGGAACTGGCTGACAGGTGGGGGATATCCCAGCCTACCTTCAGCCGCATTATGCCAGACATGTTAGGAGGTATCATTGGTTTGTCACAACGGTACATTAACTTTCTTTACACGGTGGGTGAACAGGCAAACAAAAAAATGCAATTTGCAGCAATGTCCAGTTTCCCCAATGTAATTGGGGCTATTGACTGCACTCATATTGCAATAAGGGCACCAAGTGAGAATGAACCTGCTTTTATTAACCGTAAGCATGTTCATTCCATAAACGTTCAAATCATTTGTGATGCAATGTTAATCGGCCCTAAACCTAAACTAGATTATAATTCATTTGAAAGCCTCGTTCTTAGTCTTTTACATCCGACCTGGAAAACCTTGCAGCCACTTTTATTTGTTATAGTGTACCGTGCTCCTGGCCCGTATTCTGAATTTGTATCTGAATTCTCAGAGTTTTTATCCAGTTTAGTTCTTAAATCAGATAAAGTTATTATTGTAGGCGATTTTAACATTCATGTCGACGTTGATAATGACTCCCTGGCTACCGCGTTTATCTCATTATTAGACTCCATTGGCTTCAGTCAGGGTGTACATGAACCCACTCACTGTTTTAACCATACCCTCGATCTAGTTCTGACGTATGGAATTGAAATTGATAACCTAAAAGTCTTTCCACAGAATCCCTTGCTATCAGATCATTATCTGATTACTTTTGATTTCTTTTTACTCGATTACACGCCACTCAGCAACAGTTACTATACTAGATGTTTATCAGATAGTGCTGTCACAAAATTTAAGGAAAAGATTACTTCGTCGTTAAATTCAATACCAATACCTTCAGTAACAGAGGTTTCCCGTGCCGACTTTAACCTCTCCCAAATTGATCATTTTGTTGATAGCGCCGTAGGCTCGCTGCGAACAACGCTCGACTCTGTAGCTCCTCTTAAAAAGAAGTTAACAAAGCAAAGAAAGTTTGCTCCTTGGTATAACTCTCAAACCCGTAGGTTAAAACAAATATCGCGAAAATTTGAAAGGAATTGGCGATTAACCAAACTGGAAGAATCTCGTTTAATCTGGACAGACAGTCTCAAAACTTATAAGAGGGGCCTCCGCAATGCCAGAGCAAACTATTACTCAGCATTAATAGAAGAAAACAAGAACAACCCCAGGTTTCTTTTCAGCACTGTAGCCAGGCTGACTGAGAGTCAAAGCTCTATTGAGCCTTGTATTCCTTTAGCCCTTAGCAGTAATGATTTTATGAGCTTTTTTAATGACAAAATTCTAACTATTAGAGGCAAAATTCATGACCTCCTGCCCTCAGATGGTAGGCCTACCTATCTAACCTCAAACACAGCTGTAGAATCTAATATATATTTAGATTGCTTCTCCCCAATTTCTCTTCAAGAATTGACCGCAGTGATTTCTTCATCTAAATCATCAACGTGTCTCTTAGACCCCATCCCAACTAGGCTACTTAAGGAGGTCTTTCCTTTAGTTAACACTCATATATTAGATATGATCAATATATCCCTATTAACAGGCTATGTACCACAGTCTTTTAAGGTAGCTGTAATTAAACCTCTCCTAAAAAAGCCCACCCTGGATCCAGAGGTGTTAGCCAACTATAGACCAATATCTAATCTTCCCTTTATGTCAAAGATCCTTGAGAAAGTAGTCGCAGACCAGCTGTGTGATTTTCTCCAGGATAATAATTTATTTGAGGAATTTCAGTCAGGATTTAGAGTGCATCATAGCACTGAGACAGCTCTAGTTAAAATTACAAATGACCTTCTGATTGCTTCAGACAAAGGACTCGTCTCTGTTCTTGTTTTATTAGATCTTAGTGCGGCGTTTGACACAATTGACCATCAAATTCTACTGCAGAGACTGGATCACTTAATTGGCCTAAAAGGTTCAGCACTAAGCTGGTTTAAATCTTATTTATCTGATCGTTTTCAATTTGTTGACGTTCGTAATGAATCATCCTTACGTACCAAAGTTTGTTTTGGAGTTCCGCAAGGTTCTGTGCTCGGACCAATCCTATTTACTCTATATATGCTTCCTTTAGGTAACATCATTAGAAATCACTCTATAAATTTCCATTGTTATGCGGATGATACACAGTTGTATTTATCGATGAAGCCAGAAGAAAGTAATCAATTAACTAAACTCCATAACTGCCTTAAAGACATAAAAAATTGGATGAGCACCAATTTCCTGATGTTAAATTCAGACAAAACTGAAGTTATTGTTCTTGGCCCCAAACAACTCAGAGACTCTTTATCTGATGACATAGTTTCTCTAGATGGCATTGCTCTGGCCTCTAGCACTACCGTAAGAAACCTCGGAGTAATATTTGATCAAGATTTGTCTTTTAATTCTCATTTAAAGCAAACCTCACGGACTGCATTTTTTCATCTGCGTAATATTGCGAAAATTAGGCCTATCCTGACCCGAAAAGATGCAGAAAAATTGGTCCACGCTTTTGTTACCTCAAGGCTGGATTACTGTAACTCTCTATTATCAGGTAGCTCTAGTAAGTCCTTAAAAACTCTCCAGCTAATTCAGAATGCAGCAGCACGTGTACTAACAGGAACTAAGAAACGAGATCATATTTCTCCTGTTTTAGCTTCTCTGCACTGGCTCCCTGTAAAATCCAGAATTGAATTTAAAATCCTACTGTTAACTTATAAAGCTCTAAATGGTCAAGCTCCGTCATATCTTAGAGAGCTCATAGTGCCATATTATCCCACCAGAACACTGCGCTCTGAGAACGCAGGGTTACTCGTGGTCCCTAAAGTCTCCAAAAGTAGATCAGGAGCCAGAGCCTTCAGCTATCAGGCTCCTCTCCTGTGGAATCATCTTCCTGTTACGGTCCGGGAGGCAGACACCGTCTCCACATTTAAGACTAGACTTAAGACTTTCCTCTTTGATAAAGCTTATAGTTAGGGCTGGCTCAGGCTTGCCCTGTACCAGCCCCTAGTTAGGCTGACTTAGGCCTAGTCTGCCGGAGGACCCCCTATAATACACCGGGCTCCCTCTCTCTCCCTCTCTCTCTCTCTCTCTCTCTCTCTCTCTCTCTCTCTCACTCTCATCCTATTACTGCATCTTGCTAACTCGGCCATTCTGGATGTCACTAACTCGGCTTCTTCTCCGGAGCCTTTGTGCTCCACTGTCTCTCAGATTAACTCATATCACAGCGGTGCCTGGACAGCGTGACGTGTGTGGTTGTGCTGCTGCCGTGGTCCTGCCAGATGCCTCCTGCTGCTGCTGCCATCATTAGTCATTAGTCATACTTCTACTGTTATTATACACATATGACTATTGTCACACATGTATACTGCCAGATATTAATACATACTTTCAACATATTGTACCACAGTAGCCAGAACTATAACTATAATATTATTACTTTCAATAATGTTGTTGTAAGCTACTGTCATTACCTGCATCTCTCTCTCTCTCTCTCTCTCTCTCTCTCTCTGTCTCATTGTGTCATGCGGATTACTGTTAATTTATTATGCTGATCTGTTCTGTACGACATCTATTGCATGTCTGTCCTTCCTGGAAGAGGGATCCCTCCTCAGTTGCTCTTCCTGAGATTTCTACCGTTTTTTTTCCCCGTTAAAGGGTTTTTTTTGGGGAGTTTTTCCTTATCCGCTGCGAGGGTCATAAGGACAGAGGGATGTCGTATGCTGTAAAGCCCTGTGAGGCAAATTGTGATTTGTGATATTGGGCTTTTTAAATAAAATTGAATTGAAATTGAAACATGGTGCTAACAAATGTAGTGGCTCGTTGTCCTGGGTCTACCCAGGATTCGTTCATTTTAAGGAACAGCAGTGTGGGGCGCAGACTGGAGGCTGGAGCTGTGCAGGATGGCTGGCTTCTAGGTAAGGATTGTTCATGTTGAAATATTGCAATTAAACTCTACTGCACTACCTAATCCACCATTCTCTGACCTTGCAGGTGACAGTGGATATCCCCTTAAACGAGGGCTGCTTACCCCGTTTCAAAACCCACAGAGCGCAGAGGAACGCCGTTACAACATGCGTCACAGCCAGACGCGCGCTGTTGTGGAGCAGGCCATCGGGCTGCTGAAAGGCAGGTGGCGGTGCCTCGATGCCACAGGAGGGCGTTTGTGTTACACACCTGCAAAGGTGTGTAAAGATTGTGTATTATTTCCATTTCCTAGAGAGACTGTTTAGATCTTTTCAATTAAAAAAAAAAAGACATCACCAAAATGTTAGGCTGTTAAACCTTTGCATTAAACTATTTTTGTCCTGCAGGTGTGCAAGATTGTGAGGGCTTGTGCTGTGCTACACAACATGGCACAGAGGGAGAATGTGCCACCACCACCACCTGAGGCCAATGTCATCCCTGACCCTGACCCCCACCCCCCCGTGTGTGAGCAAAATGCTGCTGCTGTGCGCCAGCGTCTGGAGGTGATGCAATGCATATAAAAAACACACAAGAGGTACAGAAATTATTTTTTATTTACCAACTGTTTAAGTGTGTCATTTATGGCTGTTAAGACAATTTTGATGTCCCGCAACTCGTTGGCCACCTCGTTAATTGCAGTGATTGTGTCCCTCTGCACTTGCAGGACTGCATCTGTCAGGACACGGCCGCTGCGGGAGGGCGCACGAGGTGCTGTGGCGTCTCCGTCTCCAGCCACAGGTGGAGCACCACTGCTGGAACACCCGGGGTCTGCAAAGACAAATTATTCAACTTTAAATAAATTCAACTTTTGTGAATGACGTCTCAATTGTGTTTGTACTGTACATGTTCATTTTACTGTAATTTCAAACAAGACACACACTTACCTGCATCATCCGGTGCTTCTGGCACAGTTGGTGCTTCTGGCGCATCTGTGTCCCCCTCCACCTCCATCACCACGCCACTTAAGTGGGACTGCCGATTATCCCCGCCAGCTTCTCGTCTGTGGGGGTCAGCTCCGGTGTCCCCTTTCCCCCACCAGTCGCACATACACTTCTTCTGTGTAGGGCCAGGCGCTTTTTTGCCTCCACTTTTATGTCTGACCATTTCTTCTTAATTTCGGCCGCAGTCCGGCCCTCTGAGGCAACGTTGTTGACAGCATCTGCCATATGCTGCCACTCGTCCGCCTTTTTAGCATTAGTAATGCCCATGCTGTGCCCACCAAACAACACAGTTTTTCTTTTTTCCACCTCATCTACAAGAATTTCCACTTCACATTGCATGAAATTTCGTTTCTTTGCTCTTTTCCCCTTTTGGGACGTCTTCAGCCTCGGTATGAATGAATATGTATCAAGGGTGTTCCCCCGACCTTTTATAGCCACATATGGGCGGGGCAAGGCGCTCCCTCAGGTGCGCCAACTTTAGAGTTGATTGTGATTTATAACTGGAAACAGGTGTAGGATGTGCGTGTGCACTGTGTTATAAATCAGGTAGTTTTTGTGCTCACACATTTCCTGTGTTTCCTCCATACGCCGTTTGTAGTGATCTTTCCTACGCACAGTTTTATAAATGAGGCCCCAGAACAGGAAGAGAGGCCAACACCCGCCCCCAAGGCCAGCTTTGACCATCATATCTCTAAATGTTGAAGGACTGTCTGCAACCAAAGAAGAACTTGTTGCCAAACTCTGCAGAGAACATCATTGTGATATTCTCTGCCTTCAAGAAACCCACCGTGGACCCAAACACCCCCGCCCTGGAGTGGAAGGCATGACCAACCTCATAGAAAGACCACATGAGAAACATGGAAGCATCATGCTTGCAAAAAATGGGACAATCATCGAATCAACATCAAAGAGCGATGAAAACAACACTGAGGTCCTAACCGCTGAGCTCAGAGAAATTACCATCACCTCCGTCTACAAACCACCTCCCACACCTTTCCTGATGCCAGAAATACCATCATCTGGGAAACCAAGGATAGTGATTGGAGACTTCAACAGCCACAGCTCACAATGGGGATACGCTGGTGGAGATGCAGTGGAAGCATAGGCCGAAACCAACCAGCTCTACCTGATCCATGATGCCAAACAACCAAAGTCCTTTAACAGCGGGCAATGGAAAGCCGGCTACAACCCTGATATCATGTTTGTCAGCCATAGCATCTCTGGATTGAGCAAGAAGCTGGTTCTGGAGCCACTGCCAAAAACCCAACACCGCCCTATTGGCCTTACAGTCAATACTGCAGTTACCCCAGCCACAGTTCCTTTCCGGAGAAGATTCAACTTTGGGAAAGCAAACTGGCCTGGCTTCCAAGAAGATCTTGAACGGAAGATCGCCCATCTTCCAGCGGACCCCAAAAACTATGAAATCTTTACCAAGCTAGTGCACCAGGCAGCCTGGAAGAACATCCCAAGAGGCTGCCACACTCAATACATCCCCAGTCTTGACGCTCCAAGCAGCGAACTATATGAGCAATACCAACAGCTCTACGAATCTGACCCCTTTGCTGAAAGCACCGTCGAAGTAGGTGAGAGACTCATGACCTCCCTATCAGAATGCCACCAGCGGAAATGGCAAACTCTACTGGAGACAACTGATATGGCAAAAAACAGCAAAAAGGCATGGAGCCTCATCAGAAAAATCAGCAATGACCCATCAACACCAACACAGCAACAGTATAAGACCACGGCTAACCAAGTTGCGCATCAGTTGCTGCTCAATGGGAAATCCACCGCCAAACAGCCAAGACCAAAGGTAGCCCGACTTCAGCACTCCCAGAACACCAGACTAACTGAGCCATTCTCCCTTGAAGAGCTCAATATCAGCATCAAAGCCCTTAAGATTGGCAAAGCCATCGGCCTGGACAATATCTTCACAGAGGAGATCAAGTACTTTGGACCTCTGACACAGAAGTGGGTCCTCGAGATGATGAACAACTGCATGCTGACAAGAAACATCCCAAAGATCTGGAGGAAAACCAGAATCATCGCTCTTCTAAAACCCAGCAAAGATCCAGCACATGCAAAGAGCTTCCGCCCAATTTCCTTGCTATGCCACCCATACAAGCTGTTTGAGCACCTGATCCTCAACAGGCTTGCCCCATTCGTTGAACCAGCAATCATCCCTCAACAAGCTGGATTCCGACCTGGCAAATCCACAACAAGTCAACTTCTGAATCTTACACAGCACATTGAAGACAGGTTCCAGAAAGGACTGGTGACAGGAGCCGTCTTTGTTGATCTGTCTGCTGCGTATGACACTGAACCACCGCCTCCTCCTGAAAAAGTTCTTGGAGAATACCAAAGACCTGGCATTCACTTCTATGTTGTCCTTAACAACAAGCAAAGTCGCTGGCGACGACAACGGAACGGCTTGCCTCAAGGTAGTGTGCTGGCTCCACTACTATATAACATCTACACCAATGACCAGCCAATGGACCAGAACACTGAGTGGTTCATCTACGCTGACGACCTCTGTGTAACATCCCAAGAGAGTATGTTTGAAGCTGTAGAAGCAAATCTCACCTCAGCCCTAGATGAGCTACACCTCTACTATGAGCGCAACCACCTACACGCAAACCCTGCGAAGACCCAAGCCTGCTCGTTCCATCTCAGGAACCGGGAAGCAAACAGACCCCTTAACATCACATGGTCTGGAACACCCCTTGAGCACTGCCCCAACCCTGTCTACCTTGGTGTAACACTGGATCGCACTCTCTCCTATAAGGAACATGTCAGAAACACCAAACTGAAAGTTAACTCCCGAAATAACATCCTCCGGAAGCTGACAACTCCAAATGGGGAGCCACAGCACATACATTAAGATCTACTGCTCTGGCCCTGTGCTACTCCTCTGCGGAGTATGCGTGTCCTGTGTGGGAGAGATCATCCCACGCCAAGAAACTAGACCCAGCGTTGAATGACACCTGCCGCTCAATCACTGGCTGGTTGAAGCCCATCAACATAAGCAACCTGCACCTCCTCTCTGGCATTGCCCCTGCTGATGTGAGACGGGGAGCCGCCAGCTGAGTAGAGATGACCAAGGCCACCAGTGATGAATGCCACCTCCTCTACAGACGTGTGCCCCCGGCCCAATGGCTGAAGTCCAGGAGAAGCTTTCTCAGCCATGTCCACGGGAAGAAACCAGACTCCAACTATGGACAAAAAGGCTTGAGGATGACCCCCCTCCTATTGACATGGGTATCCCTCCTTCTGAAGCCCTCCCCCCGGGCTCAGAAGCACCATGGGTCCAGTGGAAGACGCTCATCCACCTGAGAACAGGAACAGAGCGATCAAAAGCTGCCATGGCCAGATGGGGCTATGAAACTGGCCAAACCACCTGTGAATGTGGAGAAGAGGACCATACAATGCAGCACTGCCTTGTCTGCCCCCTACTACCCAACCAGTGCAGCTCAAAGGATCGTGCAGTGTTCAATAAAAATGCAAAGGACTGTGTAAAGAAATGGGAAACTGTCATATAACCAACCAGCTTCAAAGACACGAAAAGAAGAAGAAGACTGACACAAAACAGTTTTGCTTCCCGCTTTTATCAGTCTGTTGAGTTTAAAGAAATTTGTTTTTGGGTGATTTCCATGAAACCGGCGCCTTTTCAACTTCAAAAAGTTCAAATTCAAAATAACTTTAATCACCTGTTTTTTAATAGGCATGAAGTAAGAACATCCTAAAGTGACCAACAAAAAGTATCGTGCCATCTCGGGCTATATAATTTAATATTTTATGACTGTTTTTCTCCTAAATGTTTTGATAGCTTTGTCAACCCTGTTACAGACATAAGCATTATCATATACTACATTTCTAATTTGAAATATTTTTTTTTTTTTTTTTACATTTTTATCAATTTACTGACAATAACAGGATTGACATTATGATAACAGACAGGAGTGACAAGGGTAACAGGGATGATGGGACACACATTGTGGGCGTATACTGCACATTTTCACAGTAGTGTGTAGTAGTACAAGTTTTGCCCACAAGGTAATATAATTGTTTTTCAGTAGATTAGCATTGTATTTGTGACATTACACATTCATTATAAAACGGGTTGATCCAAGCCTTGATTGTGATTGGCTGGAAGTCGTTGTAAAACCACTATAATCATACACCTGTGACTGCATCACCGTATTACTCCGCCTATTTAATTGTTAAACCGTTTGCAGCTGTTACCTGTTTTGTTATCTATCACAATGTCGGACTTTGTTGTGAATTTTGTTACTGTTTGATTTACTGTTGCCTCACAGCAAGAGGGTTGCCGGTTCGATCCCGGGTGTGGGAGCCCTTCTGTGCGGAGTTTGCGTGTTCTCCCCGTGTCAGCGTGGGTTCTCTCCGGGCACTCCGGCTTCCTCCCACATAGTCCAAAGATGTGCAGATTGGGGACTAGGTTAATTGATAACTCTAAATTGTCCGTAGGTGTGAATGTGAGCGTGAATGGTTGTTTGTCTCTATGTGTCAGCCCTGCGATAGTCTGGCGACCTGTCCAGGGTGTACCCTGCCTCTCGCCCAATGTCAGCTGGGATAGGCTCCAGCCCCCCCCGCGACCCTCAAGAGGATGAAGCGCTTAGAAGATGGATGGATGGATGGATTTACTGGGTGGATTAAGCATGGATGAATGGCTGGAGGAGATGGACAGGATCGAGAAGGAAGAGAAAAAATAAAGGAGACACGTTGAAATTAATGAAAGAGAGATTGAAGAGCTGGAAAAGGCAAGAAGTGGAGCTGGGACCGTTAAACAGACTCTGTGGTCAGTTCGCTGTTTTCAGACCTGGTGTGCCAAGAAGGAGGTGGCTATTGATTTTAAAACG